TGCCAAATTTCAAGCCGATCGGATTAGGGTTGACGTGAGACAAGATGATACGAGATAGATCTCATCTCGTCTCATCTCACTACTTGGTCAGATGAGATGGTACTTAAATGAGATAGTCAAAGTCCTATCTCATCTCATCTCGTCTCATTTATGGTGAGATGACACGAGATGCATTACTGCTTATGAATCTCAGCTCGTCTCATCTCATCATCAGCTCAGCTCGTCTCATCTCATCATCAGCTCAGCTCATCTCATCTCACAACATTTTGGCGGTCTCACGTGAGATCAATCTCATTTAGCGGCCGTCTCATCTAATTTCATTTAGCGGCCGTCTCATCTCATCTCGTCTCGTCTCATGATGCGATGAGACGTCTCATCCCACCGGCAAACCTAGATCGGATGAGCTTAACGAAAGTTATCGTCGTGACATACAGACGGACAAAGCGATTCTATAAGCCCTGACTAAGGCTAAATAGTATTGTTATAATTTTCAAAGAAATATGTAAGTAAAGGAAAACGAATATGTTTAAATCAAATAAGTGACATTTAAAACACCAACACGACAATCTCAGTAATTTGAACAACTTTCACAAATGAATGTGTATTATGGTGCATTGTACTTTCTTCGACTTTGTTCTTAGTATAATTGAGATTTTAAAACAAAGTGAGCATAAGATTTTACAGTGGATAAAATCTTGCCTACTCCATTTCGCAGGGGGAAAAGCACAAGATGTAATAAAGTAGTTGACACTAAGACACGGACACTAAATTATGAGAATGCCGCTTCCAAGCCGCGCTACGTGGTAACTGCAAATTTTTATGCGCGTACAAAATTGTTTTTCAGTAGACCACATTGTAAGCTTTAATTTGATATATCTCACCAATTTTTTAATTATGGTTAAGTCTAGCAGAACTAGGATTGAAGGAGAGCAGTTGGCAAAAAGAGTGATTGAGTTTCACAAAAATCAAGCCAACTATGATTCTAAAATTGCTTGGAAATTTTTCAAGCAAGAAGATATTCCTCACTCCAATGTTTATTCTTACATAAAAAAGTACGGAGAATCCAATGAAGTCAAATTTAAAGCACCCAGTGGTAGACCTATGAAGCTAGCGACGCCAAAAGTAAAAAATAGAATCAAAAAAATTTTCAAAAATCAGCCATCAACATTCACGGTCATGGCGGCAAAGAAGGTCAAGATTTCCAAAAGCTACCTAACTAAAATCAAAGTCCATGAACTAGGCATCAAGGCGAGGACAAAAAGGTCAGCCCTAAATTACAAATCAACACAAAAGGAACCAGGTTCAGGAATGTTGCAAGTAATTTCTAAAGAAAATCTCAGAAAAGTCGTTCTTATGGGCGACGAGACCTACGTCGCCGTTGACCCTTCGAATCTTCCGGAAAGGCACTTCTATCATTGCTCCAACTCTGATGAAGTGAAATACGAAGACAAAATCCGGAAAAAACAGAAGTTCGCAAAAAAATATTGAATTTGGCAATGCATCTCTAGCGCCGGCCATATTTCAAACCCCGTCTTTTTGGAAGGCACTGGAAACCAGGAAGTTTATCTGAAGAAATGCATTCAACGTGGATTGGAAGGCTTAATATATAAGTTTCACAAAAACAATAAAATTTTGTTTCGGCCTGACCTCCCAACATTACACTACGCCAAAAAGGTCACCGAGTAGCTTCGTCTCAAAAATATTGAATTTATCTCAAAATGGGAATACCCTCCAAATGTACCTTAACTGCGGCCAATTGAAAAATTCTGGGCACTTTCCAACTCCATGTATTCCAAGCTTTCTGAGAAGCCTAATATTCCCAGAATATTTCAAAATCGGTGGAAGAAAATTAACCTGGCAGTGGGAAAAGTCTCGGGAAAAAAGTCGATGCAGAATCTCAAGAAGAAAATAAAGGTTGTCGCAGAAGGCGGAATTCAATGTCTAAAAATTTAGCTATTTTGAAGACAGTACACTTTGACAGTAAACATATGTAATTTTTTTGAAAATATATAAGTTAATAGTGAAGTTATGACCATTTTTCTCCGCCATTCTCATAATTTAGTGTCCGTGTCTTACTTTAGTTTCACATGGTGGTTGTGAAGGTTGGAATGAATTTTAAAATGTGGTGTCGGCTTATAATCAGCTCCAGGGCTGCAAATCTCGCGAAGCTCAAAGAAAAGTAAAAATGTGGATTTTTCTCCACAGGAATCGTTCTTGTTTATATTCAACCATCGTCTTACACAAGGGGTCACAAGGCGTAGATAAAAAAGATGCAAATATAAATCTTGTTTTCACTAAATGAAATATGTATGTCCTTTTGATGTTTGGCGTCATTTGCGAATTGCTACGCATTCTTTTTTAAAGCTAAGTTAACATATTCAATCTCGAAAACGAATTATCATAGAGTTGGTAGGCGAATAAAATGAACCCTTGCTGGCTGCGTCTTTCACTTTTTTTGATCAGAATTTCTCCCCTCACTCACTAGTGGATGGATCTAGTATAAAAGCACGCGAGGCTTTGGTTCAGAAATCATTCTCATTCTTCTACACTCCGGTCTGGGTAGCTTGTGTGTCTAGATTTAGTGTAATAGATTCATCACAGTTTTTATTTCTATCCGAAAACTAATTTTTCAAAGTAAATATTTCGGTAAATTTTTGAAATGATACACATTTTCTCAATTTTGCTGGTGGTCCAACTATCCATCATTGCTGCATCTATGGCTCAAGTAGTTTAATAATATACAAAATTCTCACCTTGTTTCGTAAATCATATTTAAGTGAATTCTCAATAACTTAAATTTTGCAAACCTAATTTAGATCACGTTTACTCGGGAATGGGTCACAGGGAAGCGGAGTACGTCACCCAAGCTGAGAGTTTTTATGCATGATGACAACATGCCGCTCTGCAAAAGTCTCCTGCCAGCCATAGACTATCTATTGGAGGTAAAAGAAACTTTTTTATTTATTTAAAAACTTACAGATAGATTGCATACAATTAACGCTCTTGTTTTACTATAGGTGGAGAAAGCTCATCAAAAGCTCTGCCGTCCTCTTCCAAAGTCATACTCAGTTCCAGAAATGCTAAAAAAAGTGACTCCAGTGTCGGACGTATTATCTTCCTCCACAGGTTCTGGGGATCAAGGGTACGATGAAGGATACGAATCGAATATGCAAAAATCGACGTAATGAAGTTCACATTCAGAAACGAATTTTAAATGCATACATATCTCTTGTACATGAATAAGCATATTATTGTGGTATTTATAAACTCTGAACAATCACTATTACTTGTCAAGGTTGGGAACTTGTAATTTACATTACTTGCAATGCAGCCACTGATCGATGGAGTTTAGAATACAATACAATTTAGGGATTCCATGATTATAGACATTTATATAATGTTTCTAGCATGAAGAGGGGTTAGCTTTTTCGCCACAAAATGTGGCGAAAAAGTTTGTGGGTTTTCTGCAGGGATGTGTTGTCTTAGTTATAGTTCTTATGCAACATATTGCAGCCTGGTCACGTATGCACTCATCATAGGTTCCTTTCTTCCTCTCAACTTGATCTGTGCTTAAAACAATAATTGACAAGGCTCATTGCGCTGGCTAAGATGTACACAAATGAAAAATATATAAATGTATTGATTAATAACGAATGAAATAAAAATTTCTTGGTAAGAGATTTAATAAATTATAGAGTGTTGTCATATCCATGAACTACAGATAAAGGCAGAGATGTCAGAAAATACATAACCATAAAAAATGCATACATGTCATCAATAAAATATGAAACTTTCCAGAAAACAGACAATATTTTGTTGATACCGTAAATCCTGTAACGGAGAAAGTGGTAGCAGTTCCTCATAACGAACATAGATGTCGAAAACATCTTCGAGCTAAAATTGCGAACACTTTTTTACATACTTTGTGTTGTTTGCTTTCGCTAGGAAGGGTGAGCATTTCTGTTTCTACATATAATTGCTGACATTTCGTTAACATCTAAGCAGCTTGAGTCTACTTTATTTACTATGGTATTATTTCTGTTTTTGTTTTTTGGCACATTATGCAACTTAAATACACATGTATTTTCTTATAACTCAGACGTACTTCATATATTCATACTTTTACGTATATACACAAAAGAGGTCTAATGCTAGAATTACTATGAATGTCAGTGTCAATAGGTCATTAAATAAACAAAATTTCAAAAAACCGTGTCCCTATAATTCGAAGGGGCTCCTAATCCTTTTTACCGCATCTTCCTATGTCATAAGGTGCCACTACACGGGCCCTTAATATTTAACGTTGGCGTGCGTGACAACATACTATCTGTTTCGCATATACTTCCATGCAGCATGAAAGCAAATGGGGAAAAAATAGAAAAATCTATCACGTTTATTTAATAAAATTTCAAAAATTCACACACATCAATAATTAATTTAGGAGAAAGTTATCCTTTTGCTAGAAAATTAAAGTTTATGCAACTAGGTAAAAATTCCGAAGAATTCAGATTAATACTTTCGTTAATTCATTTTTGAGTAATTTTATCTTATTATTTTGCCCAAAGAGTAAGTCAATGCTAAATATGGCGTTGTCGTGAGTAAGGCCATAAATTCAAATTCCTACTTTTCTTTTCTATATTCGTTATGTTAAACTAGTTTTTTTAATTTAGGACAATTTGTTGCGCAAGAAAACTTATATTACAGAATTTATAATGTATTCTAGATAGAAAACCATGGTATTGAATACCCTTTTTATATTGGCAATAAATCAAGACCGTCAAAAAACGTATGGTGGTCAAACAATTATTTTGAAATTATAAAGTAAATTTTAACGAGGATTTAATTTTTTAAAGAATACATATGCACATGTTGCACGACGTTGTAAATATTTAGAAGATGTTGGTATTTATAAATTAAGATTAGGTTTCATATGATCTTGAGAAGTTGATCTTGAAATGTTTAAATGGTAAAGAGAATAACATGGAATTAAATAGGGACATTATGGCTTCAAAAATCCCGAGGAATTTATTCCACACACAAAATATTTCTAAAGTTCCACATTTTATAAAATATAAAGTTACCGGGGAAGAATATTTTTTTTCGGAAACAGAACATACAATTCTTTTTATTAAAGAAAACCTTGTCCATATTCTTAATAGAATAATTCTGTTTATGTGTCATTTCACTTACATGATAATTGTACAAGCCATCTTTCGTCGAGTGTTCGAAAACGAAGAAAAAAGCTTTCTTCACTAATGACGAGTCCAAAACTGTCACCAGGGGGCGAGGGCGAGACAATCAGTTACGGCATTGATGGCCAGGTCTCTCGTGTTTATGGGATGTTGGGCAGTCCTGTCAATTTATTAGTAGAACATAAATACATCGTAAAAAATTATGGGGACAAATTTACCAATTAATTTAACCCACCCTAAATAATTCGGTAACACTGACATTACCACACAGTAATAAATACCCAAAGTAAATTTGCACCTGATCGAAAGCTAAGTTATTTGGCTTATAAAAACTAAATTTGCTATGGGATCAAATAAATATACGATGGCGTGGTTCATATTTATTTTGTACATATGCGCCTTATAATAATTATGATTACAAGTGAGTAGTAAATTTTTTTATAATTATTTACTGGATGATTTATTACCGACTTCGTAACAAATTGAGTGTCATTTAGTAGCGTGTTTATTCTCATTTCCAGCGTAAAGTCACAAGCTAGTCAATCGTGTTACCGAATTAATTAGAGTGCTCATTCATATCACTTACCTCTCCCAGTCGGTATATTCGTTGGTGATAGTTGTCAAAATTTCGTTTCTATGGAACCTGTACGAGTTTCGGACAAGCGTTCGCAATATCGCGTCCCGACGATGGGACTCAAACCCGAATTCCAGATCCATCTGTTTCATAAAGAGGAAATGGTTGAATAAGAAGCAGGGTGTAACGGCCCTGTCATACCATCTACATTCAGACAGCCGAACCAACTCCACAATAACACGCCGTCATGATACAATGTAAGAGAGAAAGAGAAGTCAGTATGGAATAAAGAGTGGACGAGTAAAGCAGCAGAATTCCTGTCTTCCTTCATCTTATTTGCCATTTTCTGCTTGGCCATCATCACCACCCATACCTTCATCCCTTGACTTCATCCATCCATCCATCCATCTCATCATCTCCATCCGGCACACCCACCCGAGAGAGAGAGCAGGGACGAGAATAGAGAGGAAGTAGAGGGACAGTGAACCTCCCACAGATAGGTGCAACCCTCACAAGGGAGTCAAACTTTTCTTGTAAACTTAAATGAAAGAGACTCAACAAGAATCTCAAGATTCAACAAATGCGACGACAGGGTAGTAAAAACATGGAGATAAAAATCGAGATAACATTGACATTACTTTTTGCTTGGTAGGGTTTCACTTTTTCATTTAATATTATAACACAAGATTTAAATTTGCCAAAAATATATTTTTCTGCGAGTTACAGGAAACTTTAGCGTTAAAAAAATCGCGAAAAAATTAATACTTAAGTTTTCGAAATTTAATTTTTTGAAACGAAGGTGGAAGTATAATTGTCACGCCAATTTAGAAAATCTCAGAATGTTGGAATAAAAATTGCTTATTTAGGTAATTCGTGGTCTAATTCCTTATGACAAAAGTCCCAGTCTCAAGCATGTTTTACGTACTACGTATTACAAGAAGTGAAAAGTTTAGACTACTCCACATCCATGAAATTAAATTAAATACAATCTTCCAAATTAATCATTTTACCACTCCATGTAGGAATTTCTCAAAATATTTCACAAACCTCGCTAAACTCGGTCAACTTCTCCAACGAAGATAACCCCACGAGGATATCGTATTTCTTTCCAACTTCCCGCTTACCCATGGGCGGAGGGCTGTTTATCTGCAAAAGTAGACAAAATGTCAATCCTTATTACATTTCATCACTGTAATCTCCTGTCATTCCCAGTCAGACAAGAATTTCCCAAAGAATATCACATTACCCAATAATTCTAGAACATTTGGCCAAATTGCTTTATTCCGTCATTTAATTCTCGACCTTCCAAGTAATATAGGAGTTGGGTCATCAGATGGACATCCAATTACAAAAGGCTATCAAATTCCGAATCTTAGAATGGGATGACGGAATTCGAAAATTCTGTATTTAACACAGATACGAATCCACGTCAGGCCGTTGTAAATTTTACGCTAAGTATGCCGTTTGACAGTAGTGTTATTTGATATTTGTTATTTGTGACAATTATCAAAATGAGTTTAAAATAATTCATAATTTAAAAAATTAAATTTGTTTCACCCTAAAATTAGACTTTATCACAATTCCATCCACACTAGGGCCGAAATCCACGGAAAATTTGGGTAATGTAAATTTACCAAATTCAGAAAAATGTTTCGATTTCAAACACTGGGTCTGAAACGTGACCATGTGGGTTCGCCGTTGTCGTCGTTATGGGCAGTACTCCCAAATTATGATCTCCACCAAAAGAATTATTTTGTGTTGAGCAATTCAAAGCTCCTGCGACATTTTGTCCCGCCACAAATGTTTCTTGTATTAACGCCCAGGAGGAATGTGACGACCCTGCGATTAATATGGCGCGATGAAACAATCCTAAAAGAGTAAGAAAAACATTACTTTCTCCGTACAAGATTTTTTTGTGTATGCAAAAAAGTTCGCGAGTCGTCATTCCCACAAGAATTTAAATTGAAGTAAACAGTAGGCTTTCACTGTTTTAAATAGTTGAATTTTACAGAACAATGGCATGATACAAGATCTTGGGCTTCCTCCAATGAGAAACTTCCTAAAGAAATATCTTCCGAAAATATTTTCCCGTTTACAACGCTACGCCAATTTTTAATCCATTATCCAAACCTGGTTAACAAGTTTCATCAACAATTTTGCATAACAAGAAATACTACTATGAAAACCATTTAAAGAAAAATAATCCTCTCATACATTTTTTAGTGAAAGTTGTCCCAGCAAAAAAGTAATTAGCTTTATATTTTTTATCCTGTCCCTAGAAAAAAAGTTTCTCCGTGAAGAACAAATATGGCTGACATTGTTTCTCTTTTTTTGCAAATCGTGCTTATCGGCACCCTTCAATCTCTGTCTTATAAGAGAAAATAGGAAAACTTTCCCCTTTGAATTTCAGATTTGGCACTTCACTAACTCACTTACATTCTACATCAAATCACTTATGACCTCTTAGAAAGATCTTGCAGATACAGGGGTCAGAGTTTCTAGTAGGAGAAACTACGTGCAAGAAATGGGTGCAAGAAACTGACTTCTTTAATAGCAACATTTATTGCAGCCCGGCTGCAATAAATGCAAGGGGGAACTCCTTTCTCCTTTATTATTCAGTTGTAATGTTTTAGCCTTTTATGTATTTTTTAAATTTTTTATAGCCAAAATGCGTCGCGCATATTTCTTGCACGCTGTTCTTATTTTGTGGTGCATGAAATGAAAGAAACCACCTAGAAAACAGACACGCTCCTTGAGAAACTGACTTTCTCCTTGAAAAAATTTCGCTACTTTCACTCTAATCACCATTCTCGTAGCTGTTTGTCTCTTTCCCACTTTAGGTTACTTTTACTCGATTTGTGGAAATTCAATTGCACACTTGATACACATCAAGACTAGAGACCAGTGTTCTAAAAGACGAGAGGTCTGGTTCAGGGGTTTTAGTTGGAGAGAACAAGTACAGAGAAAGTTGCTAAATAGTGGTGTGCTTCTGGTCACATGTACCTGTGAAAGTTGCGCAGGCTGGTTTTAATCCACAAACTCAGAATTGTAAATTTTTTAATCCAATATGTCACAAACTTTTGTTAACTGTAGTTAATTTTGCCAACAATTACCAACTAAAGCATGTTTCTAAATATCAATCTCCTTCAAAAACTCATTATTAGACTCCCCTATCAAATTTCCCATTAAGATTTATTCACCGTACTTTCTGATGTTTTCTCCCCCGTATCACGGCACATTGTGCTCCCCACTTTTTCGCTTTCTTATTACGCATACGATAAAATTATTATGATCCATTTAATACCGGAGATGCCATACTTTTGCAGCATCTCTTCCGTTCCCTCTCATGATAATCTCATATTGTATTATCTCGAACAAGAATAGAAAAATGTTAGAAAGCCTAACGATTGTTACCGGGCGATGTGGTGGGTGAGGCCATAAGGAAATTTATACAAGCTGCACCCGCTTCCCAACCCATGAGCGTGACATTGTCGGGATCTCCCCCAAACCGTGGGATGTTTCCCTTTATCCAGTGCAGTGCCGCGATCTGGTCCATCAGGCCGTAGTTGGCCATACGAGGTTTGGAGGACGGAGAGTCGTTCAAATTCAAAAAACCTGCGAAATATAAACCCAAATCCTAAATATTATTTATGGGATCGCAAAGATAGAGTTACAAATTGGCTGAAATTGGGGTACTTATTTTTATAAGGAAGGTGAGGTTAGGACCATAAAGTGAATGAAAGGGGAAAGGAATTATAGGGTAAGACAGTATAGAAATTCCGTATTTTAAAGTTAAGGGGGAAACATACTGGATAATCTGGTGAGAAAGATACTATCTTTTTAATTTAGTTGCCATGATGATGTAATTGTTGTTTAGTCAAGTATAGGCGAAATGGTAGAAAAAAACGTATTTTTGACGCATGGCGAACTTAGTATCAAATTTCCCGTTCAAGGAAATATATGAGAATTTAAACCTGTGAACATTATAGAGCGCAAAATTTGTGATATAGGCCAGGAGAAAAGTAAGCAATAAGACCAACCTGAACGCCGAGATTCGATCTCAAATTCATGGTACAAAGACCATTTTGCACTGTTGGAGGTTCATAAGATATCCTGTATCACAGGATAAAAATATGAATGTTGTCTATCATCCAAAATAAATTAATTTGAATGTAGTTTTCAAAAAATAATACGATTTAAATATATAAATATCCACGCATTGGCAACGGCATAAAAGTTAACATATTGAAAGCGCAGAAACTTTTTCTACACACTGTGGCTAATATGCAAAATTATATATAGGCTAAAATCAAACGAAAACTATTATGACACCAGCCGTCAGCTAATCTTCTTGCGTGTTGCCAAACTTGCCAAGTGTAAGAAATTAAATATTTTGCTAAAATCGTCAGGTCGTCCGGTAATTTTGCATAGTAGAAAGTTGCAAAAAACAAATTACCGACTGATTCAAAAATTCTGAAATTATATTTGTCTATTCTGATAATTTTTTGAATCAACCTGCTTCGACATCTTAGTTGATATTATTTACATATGTAATTTACTTTAAAAGTTTATTACATTATGGAACTTATGTAAATTGTAATGCGCATATTTTCAGTCATCGAGCCAGCTCAGCTCGGCAAGTCGAGTCGAGCTGAGTCAAATGTAGCCAGGGGTTCAGCTCGCTCGAAGATATCTGGCTCGGCTCATTTAGGCCGAGCCGAGCCAGGCTCCAGCTCGCTCAGCTTGGCTAGTAAACAACACTAGCATAAAATAATTAGTCTATCAAATTTTAGTCAGACATAATTATAAAACAATAAGGAACGGTTAGGATAATTGTTATCTAGTTGTAAATATTTAAACATCTAGGGAGAACAATACCTTTGTATTTTAAATAATCATCCTCGACACAAATCTAAACGAAATAGTTCCAACAGAATGATACATCCCCCGAAATTGAGATAATCCAGGGAATTTAGACGTTAGGATTTCAAAATACATCGCATATGAATTAAGGCTTGTTCATATTTCTGAGATGTTTTTAACGCTAGCGCGTAATTTGCTTGAACGCTTTTGAATATTTTATGGTTAAGTAAAAAAAATTGACAAGCCTTGAAATACTTGATAGTCGTCCAGGGGAGGCTTGTCATCACTAGCGAAAGCTATTTTTGTGTCGTGGAACTAATCTGTTCGTTTTTACAATTCAATTAAATGCATAATTTGGAAGATAAAGCTTAAAGGAGTAAAAACACTAATTTGAATTTCCTTAACCTTTTGACATGGGGGCTGACTTGAGAAGTGTGTATAGTTAATGTGGGGAGTGAGCGAGTGGCTATGTTTGGTGGCAGTATGGGACATGATCCTATAAGCTATGTGTGGCAGAGGTCAACGCTCTAAGGTTGGGCCGGCGGCGCCGGCGTAATTTTAGAAAATCGTATTATAAAGTTTTATTTATACATACAGTAGTTTCTCACCTTTCCCCCAACCGCGTGCACATTTAAACATTCGAGATCCTCGAATACCACAATCTCTTTGTAAAAATTTTGGTTTTGGGTCGCATCAAGATATACTTGCAGGACAACAAATGCTAGATAACAGTCGTAAATATTAAATATTTCATCACCACAGGTCCCAACCGCACATATTCCATCTTCGCTGTGTGCCTGGCCCGTTATCGAGGTTCAGTGAAAAAGCCACTATGGAGTGGGCTGATAAGTTATCACGGATAACTGTGCACAAATAGTTTAGTAGGAGGCTAACGTTATAAGTTACTGGCGCTGAAATAATTGTTGGAAATTGTGAGCGATTTTCACGACTCGGCATACTTTCTCCAGCCTTGCATAAATTTGAAACTGCTGCTATGAATTCTCCACTCAACTCACAAAATCTGAATGGAGTTTTCATTTTCATTAAGAATACCAACTGAGTGGGAATTTGCCACTCACACTCACACTCTGCAGAGTGGGAGTGTGAGTGGAGATTCTTGTGTCATTAAGAATATGACCCTAAAACTTTGGTAAAATTAATACTATTAGCATCGATCTTTCAAAAAAATTTGGTTCCCGCAATCTCGATTTGTATCCAAAATACATGAGAGTGAGATTTCGGGAATCAAAATCCAGGCTGGAAGATTCGTGTTCATGATATTACCCCCGAAACACAAATTCGCTTTTCAAATATTGATGAACTATTTGTGTCTCTACCGTTCAAAGAGCTTCAATGTTCCTGTAGACTTATGAAACCAATTAAATTGTATGTTAAGGAAATTAGTTAGATGAATAAACTGTGCGTTTTATTGTTTGATTTTATATTGATTGCATTTATTATATTACATAAGAACAAACGAGGAAAAGGTACACCTTCAAGTAGACAAGTTGTAATTTCGAACCAATTAAAAGAGATGAGGAAATCTTTCTGCTGCTAGAGCTTGGAAGCTGATTTATACTACAAAAATCTGAAGAGAAAATTAAGGGTAGATTGTTTTTCACTTTTTTGCCACATCGGAGAGAAATTAAAATTTTCCAAGGACTCGTTGAATCATCCTGTAAACGATACTAGCCTGAGCTCCTTGCTTAGTTGCTGTACAAAAAATAGTTCATATTAGTTTCATAGTATCGCTGTTATGCAACGTGTTGAAGTATTCATAAATATGTTTGATCATAATCTGTCTAAGGCAGTCTAACTTTACTCGCAACAGATTCACCATGTGGACACAGAGGTCACCACACCGCTTCTTAGGTTCTAACGATTTAAGAAGATAAAAGATTTGAGATTTTTTTTGTTAATGCTTGCTAACCGTGGAATATCGCAGACTTTCTTGTAGTAGTATGTAAAATACTGTAAATTCTGCATATTGGTATCTCTATCGTGGGTAACTATGGTCTGGGGTGAATCCCACACTGAGTCAATTTGGTCTCAATTTGGAACCATTTTTCGCGGATCAAGTTGACGCGCAATCAATTTGAAAAACCTCATATCCTAGCACTAAGGGCTCGGATCGTCCGGATTAGAAACGGAAACGAAACGCGTTTCCGTTTCGTTTCTCTGATTTTGGAAACGAATAGTTTCCTTTCGTTTCCGTTTCCTTTCGGATCAAAGTCGAGAAAGGAAACGGAAACGACACAAAACGAAACGAGAAACGGTTAAATATATAAAGTATGTTATTTTTCAGTCAAATCCAAAATGTAACCTAAAATTATGTAAAAATGGCAGAAAACTTTGATGTTTTTTATGTTGAATACTATTCATGTACGTGTATTCATGTCTTAAGGGCTTGACATACATACCTACTAACTTTAAAATCATGTAATAATTTTAGTAATTGTTGGATAAGATAGTCAAAATTATTTTCTTTAATCTTTTCCACTGAATCGGCACCCTGTCAGAGTGGATAATGGTCCTGCCTGGAGGCAGAAGCATTCATCTCTATCCTCTTACGGTGCTGTGTCGAAACAGGGTGGAGGCTGGAGTTTTTGGAAGCAGACAGTTAGCATACTAGATGGATGTCCACTGGGGCTAGCCAGCGTCTGTATAATGCTAAGGCTGGCTCCTATCTGGATTCCGGACTCCGGTACGGTACATGCTGACGGTCTGATTCGTGTTTCCTCCAGCCCAGGGATATGTACTTACGCTACAACATCTCACTGTCGAATTGTACATTGTACCTGTCTGAATGGAGTCCACCCATACTACCTAGGTAAACTCACCCGATCCTATCCAATCCTGTTCCTCTCACAGTCTGCTAGAGCCTAGTGTGCTATAGAGCGGACTCTTTACCCCTCTTTTTTGAATATTTTCACAGGAATCTAAGGTTAAGCTTATCATCTTTCAATTATCCATGAAGTTAATTATCGGTGGCAATTACCACCTGGAACCCTGCTCGTTAGTAACAACCGTGACAATTTTCACAAATTTGTATCTAAAAATTGACGTGGTAGACTGAATTTATATGTTTTGTAAAAACAAAATAAATACGATGGGTCAAATTCCTATTTTAATTTTAGTTACAAATTTTCATACAATAAACACCGTTTCCGTTTTGTTCCGTTTCCCGTCGTTTCGGTTCCGTTTCTTACAATAAATTTTCGTTTTGGTTCCAAAATTTTCGTTTCCTTTTCGTTTCCAAGAAACGAAACGAACACTACCGAGCACTACACTATCACTAGCACTATCCGAGCACTACAAGCACTTGTCTGCCATTGAGCAAACAACAGCTCAAGTATAAATCGTGCCTTACACTTAATTTGACAAATATAGGATGACTGGGCGGTAACACGTAGTTTGTACTTTTACCTCACAATTTAACTACAATATTTATGTCCTCGTCGGATCATGACAAAACTTTTCATGCTGACCAATTCATTCAAAAGTTACATGGGTCGTTGTGCGATCTATTACGTTAATATGTTAGCTAATCTTATTACAAATATCTGTATTGGCATCTCTATGCAACACAAATGCGTCCGGCATCTTAAATTTAATTAGTTAAACAGTACAAAACTTTTTTTTAAGTGGAGGAAAGACTTTTGACCAACCATTTCTTATATATGTCTTACGTACCAAATGTAGATTGACCAGTGTAGCCGTAATTATCCTAAAATATTTCTAGAGTTAATTTTTGTTTTGTTTCAAAAAAACAATGCTTATCATACCCAACACGCAAGTTCCCGTTGACCAGTATTTGTAGTGGTTGATAGCATCACGTACTCCATTGCTGGATACAATACGACGATATTATTTAAGTCGGCCACTTCAGCATACTGAGCAATTAATTTTTGCTCTACGTCACTATGGTCAGGAAATTCAGGGCCAGAAATACATTCGCGAAATACAACGTGCAGGCGACATGACACTCTGCTTTCAATTTGACAAGCACTTGGGACGTAGATGTACCCATTTCCTCGAAATGCTCTCGTCAATTCGTAACTGGACCCATTTATAAAATCAGATTGTGTGAACGGTATGAGCTTTCCTGTTGGCTGAGTTCCGACGCTAAGTGGTACGGTATTATCAAATAACCAGCTGAACATTTGAAAAACGCTGTTGAACCCACATTCGTTTAAATATCCTGCAGACAAATTTATCTGGGAGGTACATGGACCTCCACGACCGTTAGTGACAGGCTGTAAAGTTTAATTTATGTAAGTTGCTTTGTTGGTTTGTTTCATGTAGTTTTGAAAATTACTTACAATACCGTGCCCGGCTGGAATGCTGAACTGTGTTAGTACATTAGCACCGAAAATACTGTATACCGTACTCGCAAGTCTGAGTGACCCTTGATTAACGACGATATCCTTCGACCCCCCAATAATATACACCCTGGAACCGTTAAGATTCATGATGTCGTCAATTTTATGCGAAGATGAAAAGTCGACAATTCTTTGCAGTAAGTTTGACATGTTGACTAGGTTGGGATATTTAATGGATGTCTGGAAAGCCTCAAAACCATCATATCCGGATAGGTATGGCCCTACGAGATTATCCAAAATTAAATAGTTTCCCAGATTTGTTAAAAGTCTATTTTTCGTAAATTGAAATAATTACCGTAAGCTGAAAAAATTCCTGCTCCTTTGATTAGGGTTGAGTAGCTGAATTGAAACTGTGTAGCCATAGATCCGCCTGAGGAGAAGCCAGATACGGTAATGGAATCAGGATCAACATTGTAAGGCCCTGTGAATAAGAATAGAAAATATGATTTGTAGTCTTAAGGATAATAACAAGTTAGGAACACAAACATTGTAATAAGGGAGATACTATAAGGTAATTTTAACGCTATCCAACAATTTATATTCTCCCAAAAAAATTTAGTAATAACTTTTATCGGAATATCCTCGTTATTTCTACTTGTATACGTCGTACAATTCTTTCATTATTAACATAGACTTATACAATTATAAGGTGAGATTTAACGCCTTCAACGATTTTCAAGTTTCATAGCTTAAAATTTTCGTAATTTTGTGCTTAGTAAGAATCTGAAATAATATAGCGGGGCGACAGGCTACCTTTTGCACAAAATGTGTGAATTTAATGAGAATGTTGAGATAATTAATTTTTGACCAAAACTCGTCAAATATCGTTTAAATTCGTTTCTGAAATTATTTTAGACTCAAATTTACCAACTGGATAGTAATCGGTGGTCAGATTCGGAAATTCCCGAATTTTATTCCCGAATTAAAATATTTCAAATTCATACCCTGGAATTTGACGATCGTAAGACTGTACTTTATATGACGTTTTAAACAACTTTTAGACTACTACTAATGATTGGTGCAAGTAGAGACCCATTTATGTATTTCTTTTTCTTTCCCCCGTCACCATGGTGACTATTTTTCCTACGATTTTTTCCGCGAATTTTTCTGCGATTTTTGCTACGTATTTCTCCGATTAATTAAGGTTAGGGATTTGTATGTTCGACTCCTGCGTTCAGCCTTGTCACGAATTGTGATTGTAATGCATTATACATGAACTCTGCAAACACACTACTTTACTCAATTTAATAAATTATAACCTTAATTTATGTAGCAAGGGACATAAGCACCCTGAAGAAATGTTGAGTGATATGTAGAAATGTATGTTTCGTGCATGCACAAATTATGACGACAATTTCTACTACGAATTTTTCTGCGAATTTTCTACGATTATTTTTAAGGTTAGGGAATAATTTGTCCGACTCCTGCGCAGTCAGCCTTTTCATCGAATTTGTGATTGTAAGATATACATGAACTCTGCGATTTATTGCGTAGATTTTCTAATAAAATAATACCTGTGACGACAGATTTTTTCATTTTGATGAGTTAATAAGGCTTGGAAGTGTTTATAACCTCGTATAAATCTCGTATTTATACTGAAGTCTACAATCCGGACACCCAACACTTGTTAGGAATACAATTTGCTGCTTTACAGTGGAATCGCTAACGTTCTAACTAAAGTGGTAACCTCAGATGTAGAAATTCTCAAGCGGTTCGGGGGGGCGAGTGGTGCATTACTGCGTCTAATTATAAAATAGTATTATGCAGCAGTGCCCAGTGTATTTTCCCCCCTCCCTATCCGCTTAAAAATTTTAACATCTACGATATTCTTGTAAACCACCAACTTACATTTGTGGAAAAAATTACCCTCCCTCACTGGTTGGCTAATAAACATTTTAATGGTCTACATAAATAACGCCCTATCTAAATGAAAGCGCAGACATTACTTGTTGTATGATTTTGGTCGCCACTAATAAGACTTCATATAAGAGTATTTTTTTACAAAAATAATTTAAGTAATTATTTCGAGTGCAAGCTCTACCAAGATCTACCCGAAATGCAAGAAAACTGCATCAATTTCCTTCCCGCTGCTATAATTCATATGACGCGCAGCTCGATGGCTTGCTATTTAATCAGTTTCGTACCTTAGAGTTCAAAAATTATGCAAGCTGGATAATCTATAGCCGTACAACTATGCCCAAGAGAATTCTTTACCCGCTGTTTGGCTCCTCATAGTCGCAAGTAAATATTTGTAAGAAAGTACTCACCCAACCGCTGAGGTGCTTCCAGATGAATCTGTCCTGTTGTAAAGTGCCCCAAATGTAGAAGGACACAAATGGAGTAAAGGATTTTTGTCATTTTCTGTTCTCCGCGCAGCAAACTTGTGGTGACATATGCGTGATGAGGACACTAAATTTATAGTAATTTAACGTCGAGTTGAATTTAATCAACTCTATCTACGCCATGTCGATAGAGATTTGTTTACTGAGGTTATATAATCCATTGAATTCATGTTAATTTGATCAAGTGTTTTTTTTTTACATAACCTTACCTAACCCAGCTAAATATAATCGACCAGGTTTAATTCTAAGAAAATCTGTTCACTGAATGGATTCATATTTATTTAGATCAGCCTACCTTACTCAACAGGTCCGGAATTTATTAGCTTTTTAGCATGGCTAAAAATCAATTGTCGTCATTTCAAATCATATTATGAAATATGTATTATAATAATTATAAAAAGAGAAGAGACGAATAACTATAATTATAAAATTTATCTTTTATTCCGATTAAGATAAATTTCAAATCCGAACCATATATATACTTATGCGTACTTAAATACTCGGAATCTATTATAATTATCATACATATTTATTTCATAATATGATTTGAAATGACAATTGATTTTTAACCATGCTAAAAAGCTAATAAATTCCGGACCTAGGCTGATCTAAATAAATATGAAGCCATTCAGTGAACAGATTTTCTAAGAATTAAACCTGGTCGATTATATTTCGCTGGGTTAGGTAAGGTTATGTAAAAAACACTTGATAAAATTAACATGAATTCAATGGATTATATAGCCTAAGTAAACAAATCTCTATCGACATGGCTTATGAACCTCCAACAGTGCAAAATGGTCTTTGTACCATGAATTTGAGGTCGAATCTCGGCGTTCAGGTTGGTATTATTGCTTACTTTTCTCCTGGCCTATATCTCAAATTTTGCGCTCTATAATGTTCACAGGTTTAAGTTCTCATATATTTCCTTGAACGGGAAATTTGATACTAAGTTCTAGGGTTGCCGCGGGTAGTGAAAACACTACCCGTTACCCGTCCCGTTACACTACCCGTTACCCGCTGACCGCATACCCGTACCCGTGCGGGTACCCGTTACCCGTTACCCGCAACCATAACTACAAACAAAACTAACCAATTTACATACAAGGTTGATTTAACTTGGTAATTGCTGCCTTTCGGTAATCAAGAATGTGTAATAATGCTTCGAAGATAGTAAATAATATAATTAAGCAGAATTCATAAACGTATTGCATAATAGTTTTTTCGTTCCATCTGATCAGAAAACTTAATTTATTGGCAAAATTATATAGCTACTCACATATAAGCCTGTCTGTAAGACAGGTGAAACTTGAGATTTATATATTTATTTTATTTTAAATCTATCTTATAATTTACAAAAGTCCGTCCCGTTGAATCTTCCGTGACATTCCTGCGTTCTGATTGGCCGTTGAGATTTTGAACTGGCCAATAGGAGCGCGTTCATGAGTGTTTGAACTAAAGTATGCTTTTAGCCATGAAACTGGCCATGAAATTGGCCATGTAATTGGCCATGACATTAGCCATGAAATTAGCCATGAAATTGGCCATGACATTAGCCATGAAATTGGCCATGACTTTGGCCATGACTTTGGCCATGAAATTAGCCATGAAATTAGCCATGAAATTAGCCATGAAATTGGCCATGACTTTGGCCATGAAATTAGCCATGAAATTAGCCATGACTTTGGCCATGAAATTAGCCATGAAATTAGCCCTGACTTTGGATATGACTTTGGCCATGAAATTAGCCATGAAATTACCCATGAAATTAGCCAAGAAATTAGCCATGAAATTAGCCATGAAATTAGCCATGAAATTAGCCACGAAATTAGCCATGACTTTGGCCATGAAATTGGATATGAAATTAGCCATGAAATTAGCCATGAAATTAGCCATGAAATTAGCCATGAAATTAGCCATGAAATTAGCCATGAAATTAGCCATGAAATTAGCCATGAAATTAGCCATGAAATTAGCCATGAAATTAGCCATGAAATTAGCCATGAAATTAGCCATGAAATTGAACCGGATGATGAAAGCTGAAATTGAAAATCAAGTTTGATTGTAATCCTAAAATAGTTTAATTTTAAAAACTTCAAAATCCCAGAAACATATCTTAAAATCATAAAATAATATACCTATGGTACAGATTTTATGGTCTATATACAGATAGTCAGGGTTGGGAAATAATTCATCGGTCTGACTGTTTCATATCAAATTTGCTCGTACAATAAAGTAAGAAAAACAGAGGTGGCCTTTGCAGTCAATTTTCTTTTATTGAGAAAATATTTACATAATTTATCTTTAAGTAAGAATTTTAATCGTCTTGCCATGTGGTAATTTTATTTGCATGAAGTTTTTTATGCTTTCCTTATTTTACGGTACCAGAGATGCCGTGAGATATACTTCATCTCACTAGTGGCGAGATGATATTAAACTTAAATGAGATTGTCAAAGTTGCATCTCCTCTCATCTCGTCTAATTTTTGTTGAGAGGAGATAAGATGCATTGTTGCTTATGGAGCTCAGCTCGTCTCATCTTGTCTTGCAACATTTTGGTGGTCTCACATGAGATCTCATCTCATTTAGCGGCCGCCTCTTCTCATTTCATCTCGTCTCATGATGAGACTGAACTGACTTTTCTTTACTGATCTTTCTTTTTATTTTTGCCCACTAGAAATACTAAATTTGTTCATCACTTTTGTTTTTAGTAAGATACAATTGTATCCTACTAAAAACAAACGTGTGTCTTAAGACACGTTTGTTTACGCTTCAATCGACTGTAAATACCTATCATAATGAGAGCAAAAATCAAACAAATAAACACTTAATTTCACAAATAGTTTATTAACTAAGAAATTGTGACAAGTCCTACTAAAAACTCAAATACCCGTTACCCGTGCGGGTAGTCCTCATTACCCGCAGGGTACCCGCAAAATCGTGCGGGTACCCACAAAACGGGTACCCGACCCGTTACCCGCGGCAACCCTACATGTTCGCCATGCGTCAAAAATACGTTTTTTTCGACCATTTCTCCTATTTTTAGCCAAAGTTCAACATTCGCAAATAATAAGAGCGTTTCAAGCTAACCCCTGTATGCCATTCGATAAGAATTATTGGCTAGAGTAAGGTTAGAATAGTAGTTGTGGAACTATTGTCGTTTATCCTTAACTACCTTTTACGAAGATTTGTACTTTTGGGGTTTTTTTATGGAAACTACTAAATTCCCGAGACATTATCACCAAATATCGAATCTTTTTTGTAGAACCGAGTATTGTTGGCAATTCTGACTCCTCCGGATGCTAAAAATAATTTTTGTTTCTTCATAACCTTGCAGTGTTCGGAACTATTTTAATTTTCGAAAAATTAATTTAGAATGGTCCAAATTATTCCAAAGTGATTGCATTCAACTTCGGGTTTGTTTATTAAAACACTTGACTTCTGGCCTCATTAGTGTTCTCAATGGTCCGTTATCGGTCCGCTGCCGGTCCTATGTTGATAAGTAAGCCCCGTTGTGTAAACATGGAGCCCGCCTTTTAAATTTTAGACAAAATCTAAAGCGGAGTAATATAGAACATAATTTTTATGGTTTCAGTAAGATACAAAGCCTGGGTTTTACCATTTTTCCAAAAATTAATGGGTAAAACATTGCTTATCGGTCGGACCGATAAAAATGCTCTTGGTCCTCAAAAATAAAGAATTGCAAATCCAATTCAACCGAATCAACTATTTCCGGTCTGGTTACAAATAGAAAATATTGAAATCCAATAAATTTATTTATTCGACTGAACCTAATTTTATCGGTTATGTGTTAGTGTAGAAGATAGCACCGGACCGATAGAGGACCGGTAACGGTGAGAACACTAGGCCTCATACATTCTCTTCTGGCCTCATACCAAGCAAGCAACCACATGAATCGAACAGGCGTAAAAGTTACTAAACTAATATCAATCAGGCTAAAGCGCAGAAATTTTTCTACACAGTGTAAATAGTAAGACAGGGGAATTACTAAAAGTAATTCCCCTGTCTTACTATTTACACTGTGTAGAAAAATTTCTGCGCTTTAGCCTGATTGATATTAGTTTAGTAACTTTTACGCCTGTTCGATTCATGTGGTTGCTTGCTTGGTATGAGGCCAGAAGAGAATGTATGAGGCCTAGTGTTCTCACCGTTACCGGTCCTCTATCGGTCCGGTGCTATCTTCTACACTAACACATAACCGATAAAATTAGGTTCAGTCGAATAAATAAATTTATTGGATTTCAATATTTTCTATTTGTAACCAGACCGGAAATAGTTGATTCGGTTGAATTGGATTTGCAATTCTTTATTTTTGAGGACCAAGAGCATTTTTATCGGTCCGACCGATAAGCAATGTTTTACCCATTAATTTTTGGAAAAATGGTAAAACCCAGGCTTTGTATCTTACTGAAACCATAAAAATTATGTTCTATATTACTCCGCTTTAGATTTTGTCTAAAATTTAAAAGGCGGGCTCCATGTTTACACAACGGGGCTTACTTATCAACATAGGACCGGCAGCGGACCGATAACGGACCATTGAGAACACTAATGAGGCCAGAAGTCAAGTGTTTTAATAAACAAACCCGAAGTTGAATGCAATCACTTTGGAATAATTTGGACCATTCTAAATTAATTTTTCGAAAATTAAAATAGTTCCGAACACTGCAAGGTTATGAAGAAACAAAAATTATTTTTAGCATCCGGAGGAGTCAGAATTGCCAACAATACTCGGTTCTACAAAAAAGATTCGATATTTGGTGATAATGTCTCGGGAATTTAGTAGTTTCCATAAAAAAACCCCAAAAGTACAAATCTTCGTAAAAGGTAGTTAAGGATAAACGACAATAGTTCCACAACTACTATTCTAACCTTACTCTAGCCAATAATTCTTATCGAATGGCATACAGGGGTTAGCTTGAAACGCTCTTATTATTTGCGAATGTTGAACTTTGGCTAAAAATAGGAGAAATGGTCGAAAAAAACGTATTTTTGACGCATGGCGAACATGTAGGGTTGCCGCGGGTAACGGGTCGGGTACCCGTTTTGTGGGTACCCGCACGATTTTGCGGGTACCCTGCGGGTAATGAGGACTACCCGCACGGGTAACGGGTATTTGAGTTTTTAGTAGGACTTGTCACAATTTCTTAGTTAATAAACTATTTGTGAAATTAAGTGTTTATTTGTTTGATTTTTGCTCTCATTATGATAGGTATTTACAGTCGATTGAAGCGTAAACAAACGTGTCTTAAGACACACGTTTGTTTTTAGTAGGATACAATTGTATCTTACTAAAAACAAAAGTGATGAACAAATTTAGTATTTCTAGTGGGCAAAAATAAAAAGAAAGATCAGTAAAGAAAAGTCAGTTCAGTCTCATCATGAGACGAGATGAAATGAGAAGAGGCGGCCGCTAAATGAGATGAGATCTCATGTGAGACCACCAAAATGTTGCAAGACAAGATGAGACGAGCTGAGCTCCATAAGCAACAATGCATCTTATCTCCTCTCAACAAAAATTAGACGAGATGAGAGGAGATGCAACTTTGACAATCTCATTTAAGTTTAATATCATCTCGCCACTAGTGAGATGAAGTATATCTCACGGCATCTCTGGTACCGTAAAATAAGGAAAGCATAAAAAACTTCATGCAAATAAAATTACCACATGGCAAGACGATTAAAATTCTTACTTAAAGATAAATTATGTAAATATTTTCTCAATAAAAGAAAATTGACTGCAAAGGCCACCTCTGTTTTTCTTACTTTATTGTACGAGCAAATTTGATATGAAACAGTCAGACCGATGAATTATTTCCCAACCCTGACTATCTGTATATAGACCATAAAATCTGTACCATAGGTATATTATTTTATGATTTTAAGATATGTTTCTGGGATTTTGAAGTTTTTAAAATTAAACTATTTTAGGATTACAATCAAACTTGATTTTCAATTTCAGCTTTCATCATCCGGTTCAATATATACAGTTATGAATTGTGATTCGATTTTGAGAGTGATGTGGCAGTAATACTTCAGTCAGAACTAAGGAATTTTACTTACATACAAAAAAAATCGGTAATAGTTGGAGTCATATATAGTCACAGGTCTGGTAATAGAATTTTTTTTACTGCTTGGTAATAAATCTATTACCAAGTGGTAACACAAATATCACGCGTGATGGCAATTTTTTACCACTCGGTAACGTTTTTTTTACCATCTGGTAATAAGTTTGCCTATTACCAGGCCGGTAACCATATATGACTCCAACTATTACCGAATTATTTTGAGTGCAGAGTTATAACATGTTAGCTTAGGAGGTGGGCTTTATGAAATTATTATATACTAGCCTTCAAGCCCGTCTTAAAGACGGGCGAAATTTCAGACACTTGTTTTATTTTACGTTTATTATAATAATTTCTAAAGTCCTTCTCCTAAAATATCATGTTGATTTTCCGCAACAATCCTGATTGGTAGTTAAGTTAGTACAAAAGCCTTAAAGCTTAACTACAAGACATATCTTAACTCGTAATGCGAAATCCAAGTACCATTGTTTTAATTTAAAAATCGTAAAACCATAAAATTCAGAACTATTAAATTTTGAGCATAACAAAATAGTGCAAGTTAAAAATCGCACAATCTTAAAGTACTAAAATTTCACCTTTTAAGATGCTAAGAATTTTTATCAACGTAGCAAAGTAAGCGCTTAAACTCTAAATGTTACTAAGGATTTTCAACATCAGTAAAGAATTTTTATAACGCTTTTATGTAATTTTTATACCGTTGCTAAGGAGTTTTTTAACGTTGCTAAGCAATTTTTATAACGTTGCTGAGCAACTTTTTAACGTTGCTGAGCAACTTTTTAACGTTGCTAAGCAATTTTCTTTAACGTTGCTAAGCAACTTTTTTAACGTTGCTAAGCAACTTTTTTAACGTTGCTAAGCAATTTTCTTTAACGTTGCTAAGCAATTTTTTTAAGGTAGCTAAAGTCATTGCCAATTTCATTGCTAATTTCATGGCCAAAGTCAAGGCCAATTTCATGGCCAATTTCATGGCCAATTTCATGGCTAATTTCATGGCTAATTTCATGGATAATTTCATGGCCAATTTCATGGCCAAAGTCATATCCAAAGTCATGGCCAATTTCATGGCTAATTTCATGGCCAAAGTCATGGCTAATTTCATGGCTAATTTCATGGCTAATTTCATGGCCAAAGTCATATCCAAAGTCATGGCTAATTTCATGGCTAATTTCATGGCTAATTTCATGGCCAATTTCATGGCTAATTTCATGGCTAATTTCATAGCCAATTTCATGGCCAATTTCATGGCCAATTTCATGGCCAAAGTCATATCCAAAGTCATGGCCAATTTCATGGCTAATTTCATGGCCAAAGTCATGGCTAATTTCATGGCTAATTTCATGGCTAATTTCATGGCCAAAGTCATATCCAAAGTCATGGCTAATTTCATGGCTAATTTCATGGCTAATTTCATGGCTAATTTCATGGCTAATTTCATGGCTAATTTCATAGCCAATTTCATGGCCAATTTCATGGCCAATTTCATGGCCAAAGTCATATCCAAAGTTATGGCTAATTTCATGGCTAATTTCATGGCTAATTTCATGGCTAATTTCATGGCTAATTTCATAGCCAATTTCATGGCCAATTTCATGGCTAATTTCATGGCCAAAGTCATATCCAAAGTTATGGCTAATTTCATGGCTAATTTCATGGCTAATTTCATGGCTAATTTCATGGCCAATTTCATGGCTAATTTCATGGCCAAAGTCATGGCTAATTTCGTGGCTAATTTCATGGCTAATTTCATGGCTAATTTCATGGATAATTTCATGGCCAAAGTCATGGCTGATTTCATGGCTAATTTCATGGCTAATTTCATGGCTAATTTCATGGCTAATTTCTTGGCTAATTTCATGGGTAATTTCATGGCTAATTTCATGGCCAAAGTCATATCCAAAGTCAGGGCTAATTTCATGGCTAATTTCATGGCCAAAGTCATGGCTAATTTCATGGCTAATTTCATGGCCAAAGTCATGGCCAATTTCATGGCTAATTTCATGGCTAATTTCATGGCTAATTTCATGGCCAAAGTCATGGCCAAAGTCATGGCCAATTTCATGGCTAATGTCATGGCCAATTTCATGGCTAATTTCATGGCTAATGTCATGGCCAATTACATGGCCAATTTCATGGCCAGTTTCATGGCTAAAAGCATACTTTAGTTCAAACACTCATGAACGCGCTCCTATTGGCCAGTTCAAAATCTCAACGGCCAATCAGAACGCAGGAATGTCACGGAAGATTCAACGGGACGGACTTTTGTAAATTATAAGATAGATTTAAAATAAAATAAATATATAAATCTCAAGTTTCACCTGTCTTACAGACAGGCTTATATGTGAGTAGCTATATAATTTTGCCAATAAATTAAGTTTTCTGCAAAAGTTGGCAAAATGTCAACTCTTAATACATTTCATCACTTTAATCTCTTTTCACTTTATTCCGTCATTTAATTCCAGACCTACTAAGAAATAAAGGCCTAGGTCATCAAACGGACATCCAATTACAAAAGGCTATCAAATTCCGAATCTTGGAATGGGATGGAATTTCACACAAGGCCATTCTTAACCCGACTTTCTCTCAAAAGTCAACCCAATTTCACCATCACAGTGTTGATAGCTTTTATCGTCTAGTAGGAGAATATATGGTTTTCTGGTGATAATAGGCAAGTCAAAATGAAAATTATAGAGATGCCATTTACAATTGGATGTTCAGTTGATTATAAGTTGAAATTAAATTTTTTTGTAAACTCTTAGCTGATTTGAATAATCATGAGCTGAGATATTGATAAAAATGCTACTGGTCTTATCATTTTGAATCGCACCCTAAGTTGAAACAGATTAGATTTTTTGAATAGGAGTGAAAGTTGAGAAAGAAACATGCTCAAAAATACATGCTAGATACAAACTATTTTTTTAAATTTTATATTTTAGATTAAAGCCGTTTACAAAATATAAGTATTATTTAACCTCAAACTGTACTATAGATTGGTAGGAAACCTGTTCTTTTGTGTGATATAAATCCGTTTAAAAATAAAATGATTTTAATACATATTACATACAAAATATTTCAGATATGACAAACATTATTGTTGGAAAATAAATTAATTTATGAATTAATAAATATGTAGATTTTAAATACTAAAAAAATTGTAACCCAGCTGGGAATCCAAACCGTCTGGAATCAAAAAAAATTTATTAATTTGCAAACAAAATATTTGTATTACTTCCTATAGTGGAGGTTTGAGGGGATGAATTTGAGGGGTTTGAAGGCCATTCTTAACTTGACTTTCTCCCTAAACTAGTTATGAAAATAATTCATAAGTTTAAAAAATTAAATTTGCCTCACTCTAAAATTTGACTTTATCACGATTCCATCCACACTAGGGCCAAAATCTACTGAGAATTTGGGTAACGGAAATTTCCCAAATTCTGAAAAATGTTTCGTTTTCAAACACTCCAACACTGGGTCCGAAATGTGACCATGTGGATTCGCTGTATTTATGGGCGGTCCTCCCAAATTATGATCTTCTAAAGAAGACGAATTATTTTGTGTTAAACAATTCAAAGCTGCCGGGACACTTTGTCCCGCCACGTGGTTCTTGTATCAGCGCCCAGGGGGAATGTGACGACCCGGCGATTAAGATGGCGCGATGGAATAAGCCTATAATGGAAAAGAGAAAAAATATTACCTTCCTCTGAAGTTTTGCTTTCTTATGTGCACAGAAAAATTGCGAACAGTCATTTCGCCAAGAATTTAAATATAAATTATCTGCCTGTATCTGTTTTATGCACTTAAACCTCAAAATAAAAATTCGTCACAAAAATCTGCCGTTCTCCAGGGAGAAAGTTTCTCCAAAAACAACTCCCTAAAATATTTTAGAATACTTGCATTTATCTTGCATAACAAGGTGTTCACTCTTGTCGGAACCGTTTAAGGAACAATTAAAATATGCATATTATACAATTTTAGTGAAAGTTATCCCACAAAAATAATCTGGTTTGCATTTTACGAGGTCGGTTTCTGATACGCTATTGGGGTGTCAGGCCAAATGATTGTGGGGAATGAGTACCAAAAAGGTGATGATGAGTGTACAGGGATGTGACCTGTACACAGTTAGTAGACCTCTGACCTCCTCTGCAAAGGCGGATCGCAGGACTTCAGAATCAGTAAGAAGGGAATAAGAGCGTAAACGAACGCATCAATTTGCTTGCATTACATGTATTAGAAAATAAATTTCTCCTCTCTTGCAAGTCTGGACATCACGACCAGCGAAGAATAACTGATCCGAAGTACAGAGTTGGTGGGGCTTTTGTACCTCCAGAAATCACACCTGACTGCTGCCCAGCTAACATTAACATAATTTGATAATTAAATATAAATATGAATAATGTGTGATCCCTTTCTCATAAATAAATAAAAGATTCTGGTCGATACTGTTTCCCTTTTTTGGCAAATTGTCTGATCCTCAAAAAAAGGTCTGTCGTCAGCACTCTTCCATTTCTGTCTAATATGAGAAAATAAGAAAACCTTCCCAATTGAATTTCTGATGTGGCACTTCACTCATTCACTCACTTACAACTTATACCAGATCACTTATTACACGTTGCACGTGTATGTGTATGTGTGCACTTACACGTTGGGAAGATCGTAGAGATAGAGGTCAGTATTTCTATTGGGAGGAACCACGTGCAAGAAATAAGACTAAGAAAGCGCTTTTCTAAAAGTAAATATTTTGACCCTTGTGAAATGCCAAGAGCAAGAAACTTCCTTCTAACTATAATTAATTCAGCTACATACATACACTGTAAAAAGTGTGGTAGAGTCATATATAAACTACACGGCAGTAATGATTTCGGTAATTATTTGATACAATTTGGTAGAAATTTAATATTGCGCGGTGTATAACTTTATACCAAACAATATTAATTTCATTACTAAGCGCGGTAGAGTCTTATATACACACCGAATAGTAATGAATCATTTTGATTTATTACCACAGTTCTTAGAGTGTTCGGTTTCTTGTATTTTCATTTATTTATTTTTCTTTAAAAATGTTACTCTACCTTTTACAGAGGAAGAAGGTAGAGTAAACTTATTTTATTTACACTCAAAATAAACTGGTAACAGGCTTTTACCAGGCGGTGACTATATGTGACACTACCGCCATGGTAATAAATTTGATACTGAGCAGTCGTACATTTATTACTGGTAATAGTTATCAGCTGGTGAGTGACATATATTACCAACTTGGTAATATCTTTAATATCGGCGGTAACAAAGTTATTACCCTACGGTAATAAATTAGCAGACCAGTGACAATATATGACTTCATCTATTACCGGATTATTTTGTGTGTAGGTTTATCAATTCTTTAAAATTAAGTGCATCCCTACGGCAAATGGGGGCCATGTAGGGACTCCTACATGGCCCCCATTTCTTGACGTGTTTCTTATTGTGAGGTGCACGAAATAAAATAAACCCAAGAGACGCACTCATGGAGAAAGTTGACTTTCTCCTTCAAACAATTTCTCTCCATCAAACTTTCTCCAAGTTGTTTCGTCTCTTTCCCACTTTAGGTAACTTTTACTCGATTTGCGGACATTCAATTGCACACTTGATACACATCATGACAAGAGGTCCGTGTCCTACAAGTAGAGAGGTTTTCTCCATGGGTTTCAGTTTGCCGTAAGTAGGGAGAAAGTAAGTAGGGTAGAGAAAGTTGGTAAATAGTTGTCTAATGCTGGTCATATATACCGGTGAAAGTTGGAAAGCCCTGTTTTTATCTATTTAATATTTAAATAAGAAAACACTCATAACATCTTTTTCCTAAGGATTAAACTCCGCTCAATACCAGATGTGGAGAAAGTTGGTATAAATAAAATATTAAATAATGCACACAGAAATACTGCATTAACTAATTATTCAAACTGCTGATAATTTATTATCTTAATAATTTTCTGAATCAAACACATATTGCCAGAAGTTATACAATTTATAATCTTCCATTACACAATTCAAGAAAATTTCACTAAAACACATTCTCCCAAAAACAAAATAACCCCGTTTAGCCATTTTCCTAAAAATCAGTCTCCTAAAAACTCCCCGTCAAAATTTCCCATTAAAATTTCTCCATCCTACTTTCTCCTCTCTGATTACATGTTACACATTGTGCTCCCCTCTTCTTTTTTCTCTCCCTTATAACACATACGATTAGATTACTATGATGTATTTCATATCGGTGATGCCGTACTTTTTAAGCTCTTCCCCTCGTCATAATAATCTCATATTATACTTATTATCTTCAAGAAGAAAAGAGAACGAACGCTACAAAGCGTAACGATTATTACCGGGCGATGTGGTGGGTGAAGACATAAGGAAATTTATACAAGCTGCACCAGCTTCCCAACCCATGAGCGTGATATTGTCCGGATCTCCGCCAAACCGTGGGATGTTTTCCTTTATCCAGTGCAGCGCCGCGATCTGGTCCATCAGACCGTAGTTGGCCACACGAGGTTTCGAGGACGGTGAGTCGTTCAAATTCAAAAAACCTGCGGACACAAAACCAATTCTGATATAAAAGTTATGGCGGTCGAAAAGATGGAGTTACAAATTGGGCTGGACTTGGGGTACTTATTCTTATTAGGGAGATAAGTTATGGACCCTACAGTATGTAGATGAAAGGGGCTAGGAATTAGGGCGTTAGGGCGCAGAGAAATTCCGTATTTTATAGTTAGGGCGGAAACATTCTAACCAATGGTGACAAAAACCAATTTTGTAACTTAGTTGCCATTATGATACAATTGTGGTCGATTGGGATTGATTAATTAACAATTTGCTCAGGGGTATCGAATCGTAAGACAAATATTACTGCAAAGTCAATAAAGTCGATCTCAACCGGGAGTAAATTTATTACTGCTTAATGACAAAGTTAAATATTACACAATAAATTCGTAATTGCATAACGTACGACATATGTAGTTCGCTAGATTCGAAGATTCTGCCAACCTGACACAAATTACATCTTGAATTTATTAAATATCTTGAAATTTCTGTATTTATCTAAATTATATAACCCCTTACATTAATTTACTTCTCCATCTCCCTACATAATACCCCCGAACCCCTGAAAGCATAACTTTCCACCACTAGTTTCTCCCAATACTAACTCACCAAACCAAATGTATTTCCTTATCAGGACTTATTTTTATTTTACACTATTACCATCCCATCGCATCCACTCCTAACTACAACAATTACCGGGAAGAAATCTCCGTCCTTCCTAACTTTCTCTCTGGACCTCCGTTTCTGAAATCGCTGCCATCCCAATTATTACTCCAGTTCAGTGAGTCTCCCATCCAAGCAGCGTAAAAGCTCTCCCACTTTCTTTTCATGTGTCCATCCAGCCGGAATGTAATGCAGTCATGTTGTTATGTGTCCAGACTTTCACTCTAACTGACTGGCTGGACGCACTAGTCTGACTTCCTGTGCATGCATCTAGTGTAAATTCTCTACTTGAATATTCTACACTCTCAAGCGAGACCAAAGTGCAGTTGGATATCGAACAAAATCAATTATTTAAATGGCTGGAACAAGATTGTCAGGGATGTGATGGGACGTGGGAGAAAGTTTTTGTGTGGGAGGAAAATTTAGATCTGATTTAAATTTTTCTGGTGATTCGGGTGTAATCCGTACGGCCCATGTCTGGCTACACCACGAAAATTTAAACCTGATTTGTTTCCTAGGTGAATTTTAACTGGCGATAAATTTAATTTGTTACCAACTTATAACAAATTTATCCCCCCATGCTCACATTTATTTTTCATATTCCTCAACTATCCTAGAAATTATCAGAACCCTAGAGAATTAGTTATTAGTCGATAGTAAATTGTCAAGCAATCTAGAATTTATTACTACAAGTAAAAACTCGTATCGTTGAAATTTTTAACTTTGTTAACGGATTATTTGAAAAACTTTAAAATTTATTTTTACCTAGAATACCTAGGCGATAGTTAATCGAGACAAAGACGACGTCCGAGTAGGCCGCGAATACGGTGCCATCAACCAAATTTCCACTCCCCCAGGCAAACATCCCCCCGTGAATGTAGACAATGACAGGCTTCGGTTTTGCGTCGGGACCTGTAAATTTCAAAACGAATGCGTCAATTATTATGTTAACGAATTTTAACAAACATATATAACAGAGTTTAATTAATTATTTTGAGTGTGCAAATCTGTATTTGATATGCTAAATTTGGAAATATGTATACATATTTTGTATCATATATATATGATACAAAACTATTCCATCTGCATATATACTGAGAAATTTAATACTACGCTTGTTACGAGAAAGAAAGTACATAATTCAAGTTTTCGCCCATTTTTAATTTCGCAACATTTGATATTACGAAATATTAAAGCATAAATTGTAAAAAAAATATTTAAAATATATTTCGCAACGAAATTATCGATTTTACACATCATTTTTTTATTTTCAACCAAATATCTCTAAAAAAATTCGTGCTTCATATCAAATCCAATAATAAAACAATTTCATTTCTTCTTCATCCCTCCTTATTATTGTTCCCATCCAGTACAAAAATGTACACCAATTCCAGAAACAATTCCAGGAATCCTTGTCCTAAAAAAGCCAAACCAACCCAACACCAAGCCACACTATCCACCATATGTTCACAATCAGACTGGCATGACTAGCACCAAAAAGTCCAATTGTGCAGAGTCGGATTAGAAAGAATGGAGAAAACCGTCGCATTCCACTTTCTTACATGGTCGTCGTAGTAATCAAGCGCCGCACAATATTCTATGAGAGACTGGGTCATAATTCAAATCTTCCCGCATAAATACATTTTTAAATTTTGAACCAATTTTAACACACCGGTTCCATTATGCTACTGTCTCACAGTACCCTTCTTTTTCCGCGGTAATTTAATTCGTAATCCGTAGTAGAAATAAAGATGCATACCTGGACTTTTGGAAACTGCGGACCATTTGAAAGCATTGATCACGAATTTTGATAGAGATTTCAAATTTCCCCAACAATTTTGGGCTTACAAAAAAACTTTACAGTAATGTTGAAAATTACCCCCAAGCCTTTCACACAATGGTTTGCAATTCTTACTTGGAACAAAGCTAGCTAGCTGCATAATTGTGAAAGTAACTTTCTCTTTGTCTTTTCCCATATTTGAAATTCCTTTTCCTATGTCGGAGCGATTTGAGGAATATGGCCTTGGAATAGTAATGGGATAAGATGAGACAAATGCTAAAGTAAAAGTTGCAACAGTAGCGACAATTGTACAGGGTGAACTATGTTTGTGATTTTGTTTTAATTTTATAGAGTTTGATATGTTAAAAATACACTGAAAAAAGGGGAAAAAATGGGAGGAGGAACTCACTTTCGTAGAGTTGGTGTCCAAATTGTAGGCCGGGTGTGGTTGGGGGAGGTTAAATTGCCAACGTTTCGAACTCTTGTTCTTTTTCAAGGCGGCGGAGGGGAAGAATTTTGAGAAGTTGTGACTTCACGTGCCGAATTGTGAGTGAGGAAGGAAGGGTAAAAAAGGGTAAAGGAAGACCGTTACGCATGCGTTAACGGTCTTCCTTTACCCTTTTTTACCCTTCCTTCCTCACCCACAATTCGGCACGTGAAGTCACAACTTCTCAAAATTCTTCCCCTCCGCCGCCTTGAAAAAGAACAAGAGTTCGAAACGTTGGCAATTTAACCTCCCCCAACCACACCCGGCCTACAATTTGGACACCAACTCTACGAAAGTGAGTTCCTCCTCCCATTTTTTCCTATTATTTACTCACTATGCACATTCTACCAAATATTTAACCCAATTTTTTGTGCACTCCTTTTGAAAAATTAATAATTATGGCCCAATCCTTTTTCTACAACAAATTCCTTTCCTCAATTAATTGTTATTCTCCTCCTATCGTAGAACTTGCTAAGAACTATTTTAGTTTCATTTTAAAGAAGTGTCGCTTATCATCTCATTGTCATTTTTTAAATGCCTGTCTACGTAAAAAGATAATCCCACCTGGTTTCATTTTGAAATTCCATCCCGGCTTCATTCCCAACTCCAGGGATAAGGTTGTCATTAACAAACACCTTCATAATGCTTCTTTGAATTTAATCCGTACTTCATTCCAACATTTTTCTAGTGAAAAGGACATTATTTCATCCAAAATACTCTCCAGTAGAAACGTTTTAAGAAATAATTCGGATCCTAATACTTTCGGCCATATCCTAGATTTAGCCCGGCATTACAACAGTCAATTTTACTCTTCCTTGCGTAACATTAAGAATCATAAATTCCGTAAAAGTCAATCGTCACAATCCGGCCATAATTCTGTCTCCACACCACACTCTTCCGCCACAATTCCCTGTCACCCCCCCATTAACCAAGTTGTTTTAATCCCTCCCGACATTGTTCTGTCTCCAGACGAAACGTCACTTTTATGCCGTGGTCTAACCTTTTCTCCGACCCCTGATAAATCTAACCTTTTCGAATTGCACCAAGACCATGAACATTTTTACCGACGACTACGTTTATTGGGCCATTTTGGTCCTCATTCTGGTTCCTCATCCCCTCCCTCCATTACACAGTTTTCCGAATCCATAATAGACAAGGTTATTCCTAAAAAAAGCTCGTGGACACCCCCTCCAAACCAATTCCCTGATCTGGAATACTTCATAAATTCCTCCCGCAAAGCCCTCCCATCCAGCGGATATAGTTTCCAATCGCATAAATCTAATCTGTCTTCTCAAGAACTGTCTGCCATTAAATCTTTGTCCAACCGTACTGACATTGTCATCCGCAAGGCTGACAAAGGTGGGTCAGTAGTAGTTTGGTCCCGTGACCTATATATATCTGAGGCTAATTCCCAACTTAATAATACGAATTTTTATTGCAAATTAGATTCTGATCCGACTTCATCTTATCAGAAACAAGTTTCTAAAACGATTGGGAATTTTATCTCCAGTGGGGATTTACCTGTTTTTGCCCAGCGTTTGATTGAAAAGAACCCACGTTGCTCAGTTTTCTATCTTAACCCTAAAATTCACAAGTATGGCAACCCTGGTCGACCTATAGTGTCAACTGTTTGTTGCCCCACCTCCCTCATTTCCGCCTTTGTCGATTCGGTCTTACAACCCCTGGTCGCAAATACTCCCACGTATTTGAAAGACACGACCCATATGTTACAACTTTTAGAGAATTTTATATTCCCCGTCGACCCTGCTTCTTGTCCTACTTTCTTAGTTACCTGTGATGTTGCCCAGCTATATACGGTCATTCCTCACGCAGGTGGTCTGACCGCAGCGAAAGTCCTTTTTGAATCTAGATCCGTTCTTGATCCCCCGACTCATGTTCTAATCCGGCTTTTAGAATTGGTTTTGACATTAAACGCGTTCGAATTTAATTCTGAATTTTTTTCCCAAATCTCTGGTGTCGCAATGGGCACGAAAGTAGGCCCCAGCTACGCTTGTTGTTTTTTAGCACACCAGGAATTTTTATTCTTTGCACGTTACTCTGGTCCCATGCCCGTTCTCTATAAGCGTTTTATCGACGACATTTTTATGATTTTTCAATCCCCGGATACCGATGTCACCATCTTTTTAGACGCGATGTCCACAATGCACCCATCGTTGAAATTCGAAACCACAATTTCTAGCTCTTCAATTTGCTTCCTCGATTTGAAGATCTCTATTCGTGATCATAAAATCCTCACCTCAATCTATTACAAACCTACGAACCACATTCCTATCTTCCATACGATTCGTGTCACCCAAAACACGTTTTGGATAGCATCCCTTACTCTCAATTCCTACGACTCAGACGCATCTGTAGTGATGACGATGATTTCCTAACCCAAAGCTTTACCATGTCACAATTTTTCTCCCACCGTGGTTACCCAAGTCACCTTATCAGGAGAACGCTTGAGGCAGTCAAGGCTGTTTCTCGTAGCTCGCTCCTTGTCCCTCATGATAAGTCCACGAAGGACATTGTCCCATTAGTCGTCGGCTACTCCCCTAACGTGACAACAGTGGTACAAAAAACCAAATCCCTCTTCAATTCAATTCTCTCACATAATCCCAACTTTTCATCTAAACCAATCGTCGCATACAGACGAGCCCCAAATTTGCAACAGCTTTTAGTCCGTTCCAAATTGAAACCGATTGGTGACTCTATTCTACAAGATTCAACAACTTTCGGTACCTTTCCTTGTAATAGACCACGCTGCAAAACTTGTAAATCAGTTTTGCAACAACCTCATCTCAAAATCAACAATTTCACCTTCAAAATCAAATCTTCTTTTTCCTGTATTAGTTCGTCCCTAATTTATGCAATCTCATGTAAAAGATGCCCGGACGTGGTATACATAGGGCAAACCTCTCGTAAATTAGCTGATCGTTTCCGTGAACATTTAAAATCTATTAGCAATAATCTTGGTACTACGGTCTGCAACCACTTCATCCGCAATCACGATATTGATGATATCATCATCACTGCCCTCTGCAACGCTCCTTCTGATGAAAGAAAGCGTTTAACACTTGAAAATAAAATCATCTTTCTTTTCCAGTCCAACAAGCCCCCTGGCTTGAACGTTAACTTCAGTTTCCTTCTAAAATAGTTTTTTGGCAAGTTCTACATACCCTCAGGGCGGTTTGCATTGCCGACGGGTGTTTGGGCGACCCCGAGGTACCTGAGCCTGGACCGTTACGCATGCGTTAACGGTCTTCCTTTACCCTTTTTTACCCTTCCTTCCTCACCCACAATTCGGCACGTGAAGTCACAACTTCTCAAAATTCTTCCCCTCCGCCGCCTTGAAAAAGAACAAGAGTTCGAAACGTTGGCAATTTAACCTCCCCCAACCACACCCGGCCTACAATTTGGACACCAACTCTACGAAAGTGAGTTCCTCCTCCCATTTTTTCCTATTATTTACTCACTATGCACATTCTACCAAACACTGAAAAAAGGGGGTTTGGTTATAGTTATTCATAGGAAGTGTGTGCGAGTGAGGATTTATATATTAAGATGTAGGAGTAGTAGGAGGTCGTTAAAAATTTATTTACTATCAATCTTCCTTTCTATCTTACCACAAAGTTATTGACAACCTAATATTTACCATTTTATTATCATTTACACCTTATACTACGAATATCGCGGCTAGTTGTTGAATAATTCTAATAATAAAAATAAAGTAATCAAAATTGCAAATATTTTGATTCAAATGTAAAAATCCAAATATTTTATTACCATGGTTTCAGTTACTAAATGCTTTAATGCAATGCATTATACATGAACTCTGCGAACACACTACTTTACTCAATTGAATAAAAATACTAGACTAAATGCTTCAAGCAGAAAAAACAAATATTAAAGCAAATCCTTATAAAAGAACATTAATTAAATATTATATATTTTGTAATTCCGACATTAATTGAAATAAAAATTCCACATTTCCCCGTGTTTTCTCCTATTGGTCAAATTTTAATGTCAACACTTTCCCTCAAAGTTATATCCTTACATAAAATAGAAGCATTTAAGGTTAAGAAGATATGTTTCTCTAATCTCTTTAGGACAACATCGAGTCCCAGTCCCAGTTTCTCTCATGAGTTCAGCTTTGCACTTTTAGATGTGACATCTTTATTTATTTTTCCATTGGCAAGATTCCTTATTCTTACAGAAGAGAAAAGCTAGGCTCAAATCTGAGAAATGAAACGTCTTAATTTTTTTTGAGAAATGCTCATTTTAAGGTAGGCTTGTATATTTATTTACTGGACTTAGAAAGCTCCTTGATAGACTTCCTCTTTTGGAGAAAGTAGCAAAGCGAAAGTAAGTCTGGTGTATGTTATGCTGGGCTGTCTGCTTTCACTCTCACGATTTATTAGGATTGTATGTGTAGCTTTGTGTCAGAAAGGAAGAGAAAGCTGAATGGTGAAGCAGCCGCGGAGTGAAAGTTTATGAGAAAAAGAAAGCAGGGTTTCAAAATGGAGATATATTTCGTCATATCTTATAACAGAATTTTTTAAATTGGAATATATTTTGCTACGTAAGGATCTTACGTTAGGGTTAAACGTGTATAAAAGTTTATAAAATGTATAAAGTGTATAAAAGTGCATAAAATTTTGTACAAATAACACCTTATTTTTAAAGAATTCCTGGGATTCAAATAT